TTGGGTCTTGCTTGGTTTGTTCAAACCCACGCGTGGTTCACAGTAGGAGGCAGAAGCCGGCGCGTGATGTTCCCTGCGTCACTAACCACAGGGAGCGCGTTTGAGGAGCGGTGGCGCAACGGTTCAGCGAGCTTGCACTACGAACCCGGCGCCCCTCGAGTTGGTGGATTATCTGAACCGGTCCTGGGCCTCCCCTAGGTCGACTCAGCCTCATATAAGTACCTAGCGCGGTGTGTACTAAAGATTGCCACGAGACAAAGGCGGCCGGACGTGGGTATTGCCAACCCCCTGTGCAGTGCAATATCTTCATAGGCGTTCGCTAGCAGCACTTTGCCCCCCAAAGAATGAATCTGTACGGGGGATCTTTGTCTTAGTATCTGCACCACCACCACCACCAGGTGGGATAAAGCGCATCGCGGGGTGCACAACCCACGGCAGTGGCACCGTCCGTCCGTGTTGTCCGCACGCCGCCGGTGAAACGTGGCCCGTGGTGACGGAGTGGTTGTGGTGACATCCCAGGTTACCACGCACAGCGGCGGGTGACGAACCCCTTTGACCTGCGGGTCAGAATATTACTGAATTTCATACGGTAGCTGTAGCCACATGAGGCCTTACACTTTGAAACGGCCCACGAACAGGAAGTGTCCTTCAGTGCAAAATATCTTAGCCGCACTTAATCGCCTACTTAAGGGCAATATAGCCCATCTAGCAACACCGTTAAGAATTTTAATTTGCGCACTCGGTCACCCGTTGTCTCACAAGTCATTCTGAGGCTACGTGGTCAAAGCACAGTCCCAGCGTGATCAAAGTTTATTCTCAACTAATGTTGGCTCCATCAAAGATATCATCATCATCATCAAGCACCAATCTCTCGCGATCGTGCGATGTAACCTCATCGAGCACCTCATTACTCCATCTGCATGGTGGGCGTTACGGGCTTCTGAAATGCGTTGCATTCCGTGGTTTAATGGTACAGGAGAATTCTAGATTTGAAGCTTTCGTGACTGCAATGATTCATATTCTTAGGTTTTTTTCGGTAAAGTCACGTAGGTAAAAAAAACATTAAAAAGTTAAATAAAATAAAAAATAAAAATCACGACGTTTCGGAGGCAACGCAAGCTTCCGTCTTCAGGTGGTACCGTCACAGCCACGACAGCTGTATCAAGTAAATGAGAGATTGCAGGAGCTACCACTCTGTTTATATAATGGTTGGAAAGGATGGGCAAGGGCCGCATACTTTTTTATTAATATGGTAAGGTGAGGCTTAAGACTAAGAACAGGAGGTACAGGAGAAGTCCCAGCCTCGGGGAACCATCTATCACTCTTGGTCCGGTACCCGTGAACAGCGATCGGTAGCGATGCGGGGGATGCGGAACGCAAAGTGCCCGTGCTTGGTGGCGGAGTTCACGGCAGCGATGAAGACGCGCAATGGGTGGGCCGTGCGAGGTGTTGGCCCGACCAACTCGTCAATGCGCCACGCTGGTCGTAGCAGGTGCTCGTTAATGACATTCTTTTCCACACGAGTCTCTCAGTCCCCAGAGCAAGGAGGGGTTGTTGGGTATAGCCATCCGAGTGACAGACCCAGAACAACAACCAGTTTGCCACGGTTTGTGATGTAGAACACCCTGTACCGGGCTTTGATGGTGACTTGTAATTAATCAACTGCGGCTGCTGTGCGTTCTGACTCGAGTAGACTTTTTCGATTGTTTGATTTTGTTTGATTCATCGTTTTTTTGTGTTCGCCTGGGTTTTTTTTTTGTTAAACGCGCACGAGTTCCCAATGCGATTGCTCATTTGTCAGGCGCCGTGCTCTGCGCGGCTCATCGCTCCACGCCGCACCCCCCCCCCCCCCCCCGCTTGTTAAGGGCTTGGAGGCTGCCCCTGGGCCAGATGGTGACTCCACGTCCAGAGACCCCCCCCCCCCCTTCCCGACCCCCGATGAGCAGACGGGACAGATGCCCGGTTTCGGGGTGGCAGTGCCAGGTTTGCTCCTCCGGCTTTGCCGCGTGATGCAGTCGCAACATATTTGCACTTCCTTTCAACTCAAGTCACTTTTGGCCACACCGATTTTTTTTTTTACCCCACTTGATTTTTTTTATATATATAAAAGGCCTGCTGGTACATGGAGTGAAATTATTGACACCTGGGTAGGATTTCACGGGCTGTGCCATGCTGCTCTCTGTTGCGTGCGGCAGTGAGCGTGCAACTCAACTACGGGGGCAGCTTCTCTCAGCCTCCGCTTTGCCTCTCGTTGCACAGACGACGCCTCCTTCGATTCGTGAAGTTCCCAGCACGTGGAGAGAAACGGCAAAAGAACTACGGGGGGCAACCCTAAGCCACGCTATATATTTGTTTTATCTTGATGTTGGCTATAATTGGCGCAAACGTGTTCACATAATTGTTTCATACATTTGGCATTTATTTTTTCATAGTCTGAACGTGCAATTTATAACTTTTATAAACTTGAATAAATTATTGCCAAAAGAATCAACAGTTTAAATTGTTTCGGGGGGGGAAACAAAAGTGATTATAATCGGCCGGCCTAATATTTAGACAATACAAATCCGAGCATCATGCTGCCACACAAACACAAGGCATGCAGTCAACCCCAACGAACTAATCTATTACTTTATTGCAAAGTCTCACAACATTTCAGCGTCACACCATTCGCATGGGCCTGGAAGTTGGAGAGTTCACGTACCCGCCGTGCATATAGCGTACTTTCTCCCCTGAGAAGCGAGGACCGATGCCCCCATCGCGTGCCCGGACACTTTGCGTGTCGTTCTCTTCGCCGCAAGCAGGATGACGACGACGACGTCCAGACACCACCCCGCGTGCGATGACCACGTGCCGCTCCCTCGGCGTCGTGCGCGTCACAGTCGGTGGCTCTGCCGCCACGTGACCCGCTCAATTTTCCCGTGACGGGCGACCGCCTCCCTGAGACGCCGTAGGGAAGTTGTCACCGAGACGAAGCGCTTCGTGTTGGTTTCATTCAACTGCCGTTACCACCACCCCCTTCGAGAGGGTGCCATTGCGGAATACGGCGAAGATGTTATCTTCCTTGCCCGGTATGCAAGAGGTCAGGGGGGTTCGACCTCCCCCCCCCACCGCTGACGCCTGTTGTATATTTGGAGTTTTCACGTCTTTCCTCGTGGCTGCGAGGGTCCTCCGGAATTTAGAATCAACATGCGTTTAGATTTATATGGCTGCTATAAATGTCCACATGATATAAGCCACTTCGCTGCGCTGTCATTTTTGGCCAAGTCGTTTCTGAAAAAGAGGCTAATAGCTCAGTGCGCTTTAACTAAAGAGAGGGTTTGTTAGTTTTTATGGTGATTTGCTTACTTTTTCTATACTTTGCACTCCGTGTTTTTGTATTGTTTGTTGTTGTTCTGACCCACCCCTACTGGACATCTGTGAAAAAGAGCTTCATAGCTCATCGGATTCCTCCTCCAGTATAAATAAATACTCGTTGGTTATTTCGGTAAAGTCACGTAGTTAGAAAAAAAAACAAGTATAAATAAAGTTTCTTATTCTGAAAACCACAGCATTATTCTGTCCACAATTTAGTTTGAAGACCATCTTCCAGTTGTGGGGGTTGTAAGACACACACATTGTGGTCTGCCTTTACGAATCATGTCAATTCGGGTCTTTAAGAGCAGACGGCACAAGCTAACAATGCCCCACAGCCACGGGTGGAACGTGAACCGGCGACTTGCACAATTTGGCCAAAGATGAGCATGCAGGCTACTGGACCAAGCCCCTACTTGTTTGACCACAAGCATTCAAGCGGAGCAGTCTTGCTCGACTTCCAGAGCCACACGCGGCTCTTTAAGGACTGCCGTGCGGCCTTTTGGAATAAAAAAAAGAATGTCCCTTCTTGATATTTTGGTTGCCGACCCCTGACCAAGGAAGTCCATCTTCTTGGTTCTTTCGGTAAAGTCACGTAGAAGGGAAATAATAAAATAATAAAAATAAAACATAATAAAATACAATTCTCACGACGTTTCGGCCACAATGCAAGCAGCCGTCCTTGCATTGTGGCCGAAACGTCGTGAGAATTGTATTTTATGAAATAAATTTTATTATTTCCCTTCTACGTGACTTTACCGAAAGAACCAAGAAGATGAATCCCTGCAGTCACGAAAGCTTTACATGGAAGTCAGTTTCACCGTGGAAGTTCAGTTTACCATGGGCAGGCAACCTATGGCTCCGTAGACGCATGCGGCTCATTCAGGACTGTTCCATGACGTTATTTATTAAGTACCACCGTCTCGTATTCACAACATGCGGCTCTTGAAATACTGAAGTTTTTATTTTACCGAATTCGAACCAAGACGGCTCTTCTTCTTCTTGTTTCTGGTTTCCGACCCCTGTGCAACAAGTAACATGTCCTGCAAGTACCGGCCATTCACTCCACCATGGCTTTGCATTATTCTCAGTTTTATTAGCACGCATTAAGTAGTCGCACGTTGGGACAGCTCGTGATTGAATCTCATTACCGTGACGGTTTGCGATGCCCTGCATCAGAAGTGCTTTATGCGTAGTTACCGTGGTGCGTTGCATCGGGTGACAATGCGTTGGAGGTGTTGTCGTGATGTCGTATGTGACCTTATACCCCGTATTACATTCCACACCCTAGCCACTCTGATGCGATATTAAGAGAAACATTTTTTCCGAAAATGGTAATGCTCATTGCGCACGTTTCTCCCAATGAAAACTACCTTCTTCTCGTGGCGGTGCTTGGAAGCACAAGTGGAAGATAATCGAGAGAGAGAGAGAAAAGGAATGTCATAAACGTGAAATGGATAACAAAAACAAATGTAAAGTTTGTGTGTTTTTTTTATGTTTTCCTTTCTTTTGGAGACCCAGGATGCAGCCCTCTACGTTCAGTCTCCCGACAGCCAATCCCCGCAGCTCAAGCTGTGCAGCAGCCACGAGATGCCCTCCCGCACGCCTCCCAGCGAGCTCGCGTCCGCTGCGCACACCTAAAGTCCACGCACAAAGACAAGGATCCCCTGTGTAGCGTTAACAGACTGTTGGGGCAAGTGCTTTTAGCGAGCATCTATGAAGGCCTGCACGGCACACGAGGGGGTGGGCGACCAGCACCACGACCGGCCGTCTTTGTGTCTCCAGTGGTGATGTTTACACACTGTGCCACGTGCTCATTTGAGGCCGAGTCGACCTAGGTGAGGCCCAGGACCGGTTCAGATAATCGTCACTGGTGTTGGTCGTGAGCGGGAATCGAACTCGGGTCACCGTGTTGGTCACGCAGTGTAGCGCTAACCACTACACGTAGGCAACAGTGAGTAGGTGCGAGTTGATGGTCAGTGAAAGAGATACACGGAGAGCAGTTTCGGCAATTGCAAGTGACAGAAAGACGCCTGTAAAACCAAAAGGTGAAAACATCTACGAACGGTGACAAGACCGGTGCCGTTACAGAGCGCAGAGAGAGGTGTGCAGTAATGGATTGGCACGGGGTACCAGCCAGGCCCGAGGCAGGGCCTGCAGTCGCAGACGATGTGCCAGGAGCAGGGAAGGCACGCGCACGGTGGCCGGCTCGGACGTGCAGGCCAGCACCAGCAGAGGGCTGCCAGGGCGGACCGGCCTCCAGCATGGCCGACACGCGCGCCGTCTCATCCGCGCTGCCGCCACCGTCTGCCTTCTTCTCTTCCGCCGTCTCCCGCTGCGGCTCCCCTGTAAGCCGCATGGCAGATTTGCGCGACAATTCACTCGGAATGGCAACGCGCGTAATCTCAGCCGATCTCACGGTTAGCCGTGTGTGCCCAACGAGTGTGGACCGCACACCGTGAACAAGGACAAGGTCGTGGGGGTGCGCGTGACGTGGACGTGGTTTAGAGAAATCTATCAGTTTTTAAATTTCTAGCTGCGTGAAAATGACACGGATTCACGATGTACCTTCACAACGCAAGGCTCCGCCAACTTTAAAGGAAGATGCACGCGCGTGTCGTGGCTGTGTGCCCTAAGCAATGATGTTTCAGGACATTGCGACGATTGTAAAATCGGGATGTCACTCGGGTAAACGACAAAAATATGTTTTACTATGTATATTTGTACGTTTTTATTGAACCCGCAATACGAACACAACAGAGGTTACACAAATTCGCGTGCAGGAAACAGGTGGACGGAAGCCGCCCCCCCTCTGCGCGATTCTCCCCCGAAAGGGGGCCGGTGAGAGTTCACTTCCCTACAACGGTGGGGTCAACGATCGGAAGCGGGAGATGAACGGAGGGAGGGGGAGGGGTAGAACGGGGAGGGCGAGAGGGGAAAGAAGAGGAGGGAACAAATGTATGTTTTTAGCGATTTACAAGAATATGCTTTACAAGTACCTGGCCCAGCTTCTGCGTTGGCGACGTAAATGAAGGCGTCCACGTGGCGGCACGCGTCCTGCACGTGCGCTGTCGGGCGGTAGCGACGAGAGGCGCGGGAGGGCGGCCGCTCGCTGTCCTCTTGACCTCTGACCCAGCTCGCCCCCACGTCCAGCACCAGCAACTTGTCAGGCGCCACGCCGCCATTCGCCGCATCCGCGCCGCGCTCGCGCTCGCTCCTGCGGGGTACGTGACAGGGCAACGTCGGTTCCCCTCCGAAGAGATACCCCCCCCCACACACCCTAAACTTCCAAAGTTGCACAACAGTGGTCAGTCGACCTTCTTCATCATCTCTCCCATATCATCGTCATTGCTCTCATGCGCTCCACTCATTGGTTCGTCCACCCGTGTTGTAGACTTGATCTGCCGGGCTTACCGCGTTGTCTCGTCCGTACTGTGTTCAACCACCGCACTTCGCTTCTCTTTCCGTCTCTTCCCTCGCACTGAATCCACGTGGAAATTCCCTCCTCATCGCCTCTTTTCTAAAGTTTTTATAACCCTGCTCAAATTAAGAAAATTATTAACCCCCCACTATACAGCTTCGAAAGCGCTGTTTGTTGAATAGCGCTTAATCGTTTTGGGGCCGTTCAACAACTGTGATTTTTTTAATCGCTTAAAATTCGCCCATGAGACAAAAAATGTGACAAAATATCACATTTAAAAATTCGAGGACATTATCTACATCTGTGACGTGAGCTTAAACTAACACCCTACAGTTAGACGCAAAGCATGTGTCTTCTAATAGGCTAGTATGCACAAAAGCATCCATAACAAAACATTGTTTGGTGATGCTGCTTCTGTTCACGTTGGCAGTGGAGCACAATTAACAACAAACTCAACACGTCAAAAACACTGTGGCCTTGAAAGGGAATATATATTTATAAAAGGCAACGTTTTGGCCAAGGGACCTTTTTCACGGCACAGAACACCTTCATCACGTGCTATGACGAAGGGCCACTACCCGAAACGTCACCTACTATATATATTTTTACAGCGTTATTATCGAATGTGTTGCGTTTTGTACGTATCCGCAGGGGGCCTTGCAGCCTGCGTACAGTATTTAATCTGAAAGTGTTGCTCCCTGCGTATGTTACGCATGCATGTGCCGGGAGCTGCTCTTTAAGAACCGAACTGAAGAAGCTCTCGACACCACGCGGAGCGAAACGTCGGACGTCGTGCCCAACAGCACGCTGGCAACATCGCGAAAACGCGTCACAGGGCTATGGTCCAAGGACCGATTTTAAAAAGCAGGTCAGGCCAAGGCACGCAGCAGGTGCACGGGAACCGGTAGAGATGGTGACTCATTTCTTGGAATTTCTCTCACTTGATACAGCTATCGTGCTGTGACGGTTCCACCTGAAGACGGAAGCTTGTGTTGCCTCCGAAACGTCGTGATTTTTATTTTATTTAACTTTTATTAATTTTAATTTTTTTACCTACGTGACTTTACCGAATAAACCTAAGAATATGAATCCTTGCAGTCACGAAAGCTTCAAATCTAGAAAGAACGCGTGGGTTCCACCGTTCGGGCGTAGGGACGAGTGGGTGCAGGCCCTTACTTGGTGGCCGAGTAGAGGGTGAGGATGTTGAAGGTTCGTGCCTTCGTCGAACACAAACGAGATTCCGGATCCCGCACCGGCTGCCGGGGGACGACACGGGCAGCAACGGGCGATCGGACGAATCAAGGCCTCAGCCCAAAAGTCACCCTCGAAGAACTTTCACGTGTCTCAAGACTCAGGTTTTTTTCAGGTTTCTGTAAATTTGCTACGTTTTGCCGAATGCCAATTATAATATTATTTTCTTGTATGGCATTTCAAAAGGAGTCGGCAGAATTTAAAAGCATTGTGTTGAGTTTGGGAGAAGCCGTTTGATGGGCGTCTGGGATTCCGTTTGCACCTCTGGCAAAAGCGAGGAGTCACTGACCCTTGCAGAGTCACGAGCAGCATCTAATTCATCTTCATAATAAAAATGTTGCAATGACGGTTCACCCACAACCCGGTTAATTCCACCCATGGATAATCTCGAATGACCATATCCTCCGGATTATTAGATACTCTGGAGTGTAAGATGGTACCCAAACTTTGGGATCATATTGAAATATTTAATACATTCCAGAATGTACATCCCAGGAAAGCGGAATACGTTGTAAAATACAACCTTACGGATGGACGGATGGACAGCAGAGGTCGCAAACGGGTTTTGATTCCTTACCCGTACCCGTACCCGGCCACACCAGGGTCGCATATGGGTACCCGTACCCGGCCAGGTATGGGTACCCGTTCCCTACCCGTACCCGTACCCTACCCGAAATGAGTGACAAAAGGTTACTCACCAGTGACTCACAGTCTACCCGTACCCGGCCGCACCAGGGTCGCAAACGGCTACCCGTACCCGGCCGGGTACGGGTACCCGGCCGGGTACGGGTAGCCGGGTATCGGGTAGGGTACAGGTATCGGGTACCCGGTTGCGTCCTCTGAAGGAGAGTCACTCACCGTGAGAGTGTTGCTGCAGTGACGGCGCGACGCGGAACTCGTTGGGACTGCTGAGCAGCTGGCGCACCAGGGACACGCGCAGGCGCTCCAGGCCCGGCCCGAACATCGCGAAGCGCGGCTCGACGCGCCCAGCGCCCAGCGCCGCCCTCAGCAGCTGCGGCAGACGGGCAACGACGCCCGGCGCAGCCCTGCGCGACCCCGCCGCGCGCGACGGATTCTCCGCGTGGCCCCGAGCATACCTGCGCGGACAGAGTGGCAAATTGCGCTTCGGCCGCGATCGATGCTGCTTGCCGAGTGACGGTCTCTCATCAAAGAAGGCCGCGGTTACTCTCGCGGTCTGGCGATTACCATTTAAACTATGAAAATCGATTTTTTTTATTTTACCAGGTAAGGCCCACTGAGCTATGTAGCTCTTTTTCGGAAGCGACCTGGCCACAAATGATAGTGGCTTATCGTCGTGTGGAAATGTATAGCAGCCAAATACTCTAAACGCACGGAGGGAAAAACCGGAGGACCCGTATCAAAATCCACGCAACCACGGACAGAACATGCAAACTCCAAATATACAGGTGTCAGGGTCGGGGTCAAACCCATGACCTCCTGCATGCGAGGCAGATAGCATCTCGCCACCGTGGCGCCCCTACATAACGGACCATGCGATACCCGACTAAACATCCGGCGCCTGCGAGCGTGCTGGTCTCGTCGTGGCGTGACGTCATCTCAGGCGCGCTCCCTCCTTTGACTGCCACTCCATCGCGAATCCCGACGACTGACCATCACCCCCTTCCCGTGAAACGTCCTGCCTCTCACAGAGCACTTAGTGCAGGGGTCGGTCAGCAACCTGCGGCTCCGAAACCGCGTGCGGCTCTCTAAGGGACTGCTTCGTGACGCGTTCTTTATTTAGGACCACCACCGTCTCGTATTCACGCGCATTGTGGCTCTTGGAGTGTTTTTTGTTGACCGAATTAGGGTCCGTCCATAAATGACGTCACGCGATTTTGGACGATTTTTACCCCCCCCCTCCCTCGTCACATGGCGTCACAAAAAGTCAGACCCCCCCCCTCAAATATGACGTCATAAAGCTCTGCGCCCCCCCTCCAAAATAAAACATGCTTCAAGTTGCTTTAAACTATTGTCATTGTAGTGCGTATTGAATGTGACGCTGCACTCTGATGTTGTAGGAGAAAACATTTATTAAAAAGTCTATTTAATTAAGTAGAACGTGTTGTCTATATTTATTTAAAGTTGCGCATTTTGATGAGACGCCACATTTCTCAAACCCCTCTCCCCCCCTCGTCACACATCGTCACAAATGTCTGACCCCCCTCCCCCCCAGGTTTGTGACGTCATTTATGGACGGCCCCTTATAACAAAACGGCTCTTCTTATTTGAGTTGCCGAGCCCTGACTTAGTGTAATGATTGCCTAATGACAGTCAAACCGCTATTTTCTCAAAAGATAGAATGCATCGAGAACACATGTCATGGATTTTTCTGTGCCTTCACTGGTGAATGCACAAACGTTGTTATTTCAAAAACCTGCTTTATTTACAGGGGCAGCTGAAACCCAGATTCAAACGCAGAGCGTCACCTGCCAACCTCACATCAGATCTAAGAACTGCAAGGTGATTGTGCCCCCCTCCCCCCACTCCTGCAGCCACCCCCGCCCCCCCCCCCTCCGATGCACGCACATGGCCTTGAAGTCGGCGGCGACGGCCAGGTGGGGCCGCGTGAGTGCACGCACGTCGGGCATGCCGACGCGGCCCACGCATCGCCACGCCAGCGCGTCCCTCAGCAGCAGCCGGCGCCACAGCAGCGGGTCGGAGGCCAGGCAGCGCCACAGGCGGCTGACGGAGGCCAGAGCTGACAGGTCCCGGGCGCCCAGGAAGGACATCGTGTAGAGCTGCACGCCCAGCTGCACGGGAACACGACGCAAGAACATTTGGAATCGTGAAGCGAGCGGTCGAGATGAACGGTGTTGGGGGGGGTGTGCGGGAGTCAAATTGGAGGAACCGCCGCAAGAGATGGAGCGATGAGATGAGCTCGGATGGATTCTTGCATCATGACAACGGGATCGGTGCGGGTGCCCTGGGTAGGTGTTCGTTCAACAGTGGATCGATCGCTTGAATGCAACGCATCTCAAGATTCGGCAGAAAAACAGCACGGAAGGGAGATCATTCCAGTGCACTTGTACAGAGCTCAGTCCTCCCATTTCGAGATTTTAAGTTTTCGTGACTGCAAGGATTCATACTCTTTGGTTTTTTCGATAAGGCACGTAGGTAAAAAATAAATAAATGAAAAACAACTCAATTAAATCACGACGTTTCGGAGGCAACACAAGCCTCCGTCTTCAGGTGGAATCGTGAAGCGAGACAAATTTTGGCTGTAAGGGTTCCACCTCATAACGGAGGCTTGTGTTGCCTCCGAAACGTCGTGATTTAATTTAGTTGTTTTTCATTTGTTTATTTAGTATAGACCTCCCATTGTTTGCTGTTAGAGGAAAAATGTGAGGTACGACCAAGACTTCAACTCGGATCGAAAGGCTTCAGAGTCCTGAGTGGCAACCATTTACACGATGCATCCACCGCACCTGATCACTTTGCGATGCAATCTCTCTACCGCAGTCTCTCTGGCTTAAATTGTTTCAACTGTGTTAGATTAGCACCAATTTGTAGTTTCCTAGAGTGCTTGAGGACTCAGCGTGTTGGCTAGTCATAAATACGCCGAGGTTCCCACTGAAAAAGAATAGTGTAATGACTACATTATACCGAGTACAATATTCACTTATGGTATTGGTACTTTAATTCAAATAAAATAATGAAGTTTCCACCAAGACTTGAACTTGGATCACGTGATTCAAAATCACGAGTGCTAACCATGACACCGTTGAACCGACTGATGCCTTCCCTTTTCAACCACTCACCACACAATCTCCCCCTAAATGTAGCAAATGTTCCGCATGAATGCTCATCGGGCCTGATCGCGTTAACAGTGCCTAAGACACTCGGTGGGTGAGTCATTAATCCATTGAAGGTTCCAACGAGCAAAAACGGACTGCGGTTATTGAAATTGTTACGTGGTATTGAGCACGGATTGTAGATCGTGGAAGAAAAAAAAGACGGCGTTTCTAATTTTACTGAGATTCGCATTCCGCTCGCTGCATCCAGAATCCAGCGTGCTCCACGGTACACCGAGCGTCAGAGGTCGCAACCGTGTGCCCGATACCCGTACCCCACCCGATACCCGGCTACCCGTTTGCGACCCTGGTGCGGCCGGGTACGGGTAGGCCGTGAGTCACTGGTGAGTCACCGTTTGTCACTCATTTCCCAACGTCTTGTCTCTTCTCACAATTCAAGTTCCTAGAATCAACCCACCCGCGCCTACAACATGGCTTCATCCCAGAGGTCGCAATCGGGTACCCGGCCGGGTACGGGTAGAGTACGGGTATCGGGTACCCGATTGCGACCTCTGGGACGGGTACGGCCGGGTACGGGTAACCCGTTTGCGACCCTGGTGCGGCCGGGTACGGGTAAGGAATCAAAACCCGTTTGCGATCCTCTGCCAAGCGTCGGCTTCGACCTCCTCACTGAGCAGGAGAGAGCATCAGGGAGGCGGGCCCGCTGAGATCGTGGCAAAACACCACTCTCTAGCTCAGTGTTGGGGTGCAGGTCGGTGAGTGCAGATTCAAGCGAGCTCATGTCCTTCCCACTGTTGACTGGGAAATCAAACTGCCTTAGAGAGACAAAAAACACGATCATCTTCACCGTTAAAATCTTAACTCACGATTTTATTGATGAAGAAACTGTGAAATTAAGAGTTGCAAAACTCAGTCGAAGTTAGCCAGGGGGTTGAACTCAGATCGCATGATTTAGTACTGAGTGCAAACCATTACATCATAGGACCATCACACCGCATCGCCATGCAATGTGATCTCTGTTCGGCAGTGTCTCGAGCTACATTATGTTAATAAAATAAATTACCTGCCGGTTTCATTGCAATTTGAGCTACCAGGGTACAGGAATCAAAGCCCTGATTGCTAACCACGACACCACTGACACCACAAACTTTTGGCAGAAGTTGCTCAGCTTAAGTGTAGCAAACGTTTACATCCTGATTCTTTGACGAGTGCTTGAGAACGAACCAATGTTAGTAATTAATCCGCCAAAGGTTCTAATCAGAAAAAGTAATTGCGGTTGTTGATGAAACTTTACAGAGCAATGTCGAACTCCAGCTGTGAAACATTACTATTCTCAGGCACCGCCAAAGTTTGAACTAAGACCCCCCCCCCCCTAGCAAATGAATGTTGTGGCCAATCGTGTTGTTGTTGTTTGGCAAGTGAGAGGACACCAGAGAGCCTGGAGAAAACCCAAAATCGGAGGTTATTGATAGACAGCCAGGCTTGTTTTACCATGTTTAGTTGTTTTCTTTTTTCACACTATTGTTATGTAGGCCAGGCTTAGTCACAAACCGTACCTCTCCATAACAAAGGCTCAGCCTTTGTTATGGCTCAGCCTTTGTTATGCAGTCTATTCTTAGTCTTAAGCCTCACCTTACCATATTAATAAAAAGTGTGCCTTACTTGGCCCTTCCCCTCTCCAACCATTATATATACGGAGTGGCATCTCTTGTAATCTCTCATTTACTTGATACAGCTGTCGTGGCTGTGACGGTTCCACCTGAAGACGGAAACTTGTGTTGCCTCCGAAACGTCGTGATTTTTATTTTATTTACTTTATTAATTTTAATGTTTTACCTACGTGACTTTACCGAAAAAACCTAAGAATATGAATCCTTGCAGTCACGAAAGCTTCAAATCTAGAATTAAGACTCAAAAGCTGAACACATTTAGATGTAACCCATTGCTCTACTGCCGTCTCCTGGTCAGGAATATATTAGCACGTCAAAAGGGGCTTGCTGCGTTGAACTAATTCGAGAAGACGCCTTTTGGCGTCATCTGGTCCAACCCACATGTGAGACTAGGCTCTAAGGAAAGCTGTCTCGGGTGTGGACCAATCAACTTCAAGGACATCAGAGTTGTGTTTTTTGTTTGCATTATGACTGCAGGTATTGTGGTCTATGCAAACATGACCCCTCGTAAAAAAGGTGTCCGTTTTGTTGCCAGATAAAAGGGTAAAAAAACCAAATATCAAGACGAAAAGAGTGACACTTTATCACGATCCAGTAAGACTTAACTAGATTTAAATTAAAAATTCAACCTTTTTTAACATAGCGTAAAATATAAAACCAAGAGGTCACGCTGAAACTTGAACTCAAGATTCAAGGGTTACAAAGAGAAAATAATCTCACGTTGGACTAATTGAAGATTTTTCTGAATTGCACCCGAATGATTGAGCAATGGTGAGTGCGTTGATTTCTTGATGAGTGTGCACTCATGTCACGTGCGGTTTCTGTTGGTAGCCCCTGTGATTGTGCCAGGTGTAAACATTTTAGTAGCGTTTTAAATGGAGAGTTCCATAAAAATAACTCAAAAGAAAACTCAATAAAAGAACAAAAAATTCGAGTTAACGTTTTTCAATTGAATTCATGGAAAAGTAATGCCCCTTCACGTGTTTGATATTAAAATGAATTATCTTTGTGAAACTGGCCAGGAGATGGCAGTACAGAAAGGATATGCAGTGTCAGGAGCAAGTGCAGATGGCTTGGTTCTCAGAAAAGACTTTTCTAAATTTGGGCTCAGCAGCTGCTGCCAAGAGATTGTGCAATGAGGCAGCTCTACGTGGAGGTTCCATGGTGTAATGGTTAGCACTCAGGACTCTGAATCCTGCGATCCGAGTTCAAATCTCGGTGGGACCTACAAATAATTATTTTTTTCTCTTTATACGTGACTTGACCGAAAGAACCAAAGAGTAATTCCTGCAGTCACGAAAGCTCCAAGTTAAGTTTTTGTTATACTCTTAGGTTTTTCGGTAAAGTCACGTAGGTAAAAAAAAATAATTAATGTAAATAATAATATAAATAAAATAAATGTGATTTATTTTTTATTTTATTATATTATTTCTATTATTTTTTATTTTTTACCTACGTGACTTTACCGAAAAACCTAAGAGCATGAATCCTTGCAGTCACGAAAGCTTCAAATCTAGAATTACGTTTTTTTTTTACCGACAAAGAAACTTATTTTAAGTTTTAGTAAAAAAAAAAATCAAAAATTCAATTGCATAAGCTGACTGGATCGAAATCAAATGTTCAGCTTTTTGTCCTCTCGAATTTAGTTATGAGGCAAAGTCACCTCCTGGGTACGCATCTGCATGTGAAATTATGCGTTTGCATGTATAATGGTGAAGTTGCGTGTGAAGTCACGTAGTTGCATGTGTCATGGTGTATTTGCACGTGTCCAGTAATGATCCATTGAATGTACATGCGAAGGTGCTATGGAGATGTTAGTACAGAAATTAATTGAATCTAAATTTAGCTGAACTTTGGGTATTTCCCTCCTCGTATTGCATGGGTTTTCTCTGTACACTGGTTTCTTACCATTTTTCAAACATCCCAAAGCAGTACCCTTCTGAAAGAGGATCTTTGATAAAAGGGAAATATTATTTAAATGAAAAGGCCACGGTTAGAAATGTAAGAAGTTAGTTTGTTTAGACAGTAAAAGTATTATTGTGACTGTATTCAATGTAAATACTCGTGCTTGACTCCTCCATGTGGCTTGTTCCAGTCACCCAAACGTTCCTCTCATCGTGATAAATTAAAGAATCTGAGCTGTACCATTCCCCTGTCAAACACACATTATGACATATTTCCAATAGCCATTATAATAAATACTGTTTCCATCACAAGTAAAAAAAAAAAATGAAAACTCGTGATTTTCATAATGATGGAACGATACATTGGAATCCATACTGCAGTCACGAAAGCTTCAAATCAAGATTAAAACATTGTAAGTTTTGC